TTTTATCACTGCTACTTTGAATGATTGTGGAACATAGCCTGATAATAAAGACATATTCATAATATTTAATAAAGAAGTGCTAATTAATGGAAAAACTTCTTTTAACAGCTTAGTAACAGCTTTAACCTCCCGTTTTGAGCCACGTTTTTAACATCATTCAGCTTTCTTCTTTCTTTTGCTTGCTTGCAACGTTCGCTAATCGTTCCCGAGTAGTATGGTCATCATTAGCAACGCCAGAAATACATTTAAAAAAATTTTTTTGTTTCTAAATCTAAAAACAACAATAGCCTACTAGAACTTATTTAAACCACAGTTTCAATTATCTCAAGCTTATTTTCATTCGTTGTAGTATTTTGATAGTATGATTTATTTTTTAATGAATGTTATTCAATCAAGCCTCAAACTGATGGCACTTGTCCCTATAGCCTGTTTTAAATTGAAGTTGTCTGAAGTCCTTACCACCAGCTGCTCTTGCAGTAAGTAGTGTACCTTACTGTCCCAAATGTGCACAATGTAGTGACTGCTTTTCGTCTTTTGTTTACTTAGTTGTGTTTTCTGTATTTTATATGTCTGTGTTATGTGTAAAGGTTAAATCAAATAAAAAATAAAAAAAATTGTTTTTTAAATAGTTGTTATATGTCAGATTCCTCCGCGTACCACTAGCGGGAGCTGGCGTACCACCAGTGGTACATGTACCACATGTTGAGAACCACTGGTCTACATGATAGAGAACTGTAGCGGATACGACTGTTACCGTTCTCGTGTGGCTGCAGCATAAGGTGTGAGCCCTTTAGCTACAAATCTCCAGCCTCTAACTTGTACACACTGCTGCCCACACACAGTAATGTAGAACTGTTTCCATCTGCTGGGATGATGAAATACTCTACTATCAAGATCCATAAATTCAGAATAAGATTTAGGTTACAGATTAAACATTAATGGTTTGATATGAAGACAATATTTCCATAATAAAGTAATAGAATGAACATTGGACTAACATTTGCTAGATGGCCATGAGCATTAATGGTTTATTATCTCTAGTTGCTGCTATTACTTCTCTATGTGTTGTCCCAGATTGTCTCGGCAGCCTTATGAAAGCCGAGAATAAACCAAGAGTTTTAATTTTACTTACATTTTCTGAACAAAGGGAAGTAAAAAAAAAAAAGGGAAATGTTGTTACAAAAGATTGTTTTGCGAGATGAATTCCCTTTATCTACCGTTTTAAAACAATGTTTGTGAAACCTGGAGTTCCTGAATTGGTTGGTAGTGTGAAGTCTGTTGTGGTGGTTCAGTGTGAATGGAGTGAGCGGTCGGACCAGGATGTGAGCAGCTTCTTGTCGGCCCCCCGGTGTCTCCGGGGTAACCTCAGCTCTGCATGACTGAATCAAGCCAAACAGACTTTCTTAAAGCACCGCAGCAGTACTGTGTCTCACAACCAATCACCTGAGGCTGCTTTTCAACAGTCACCCTCTTCCACTCCCCCCTTAGGACCATTTCTGTCTTTAGGGGGAGATAGTAGGTCAACAGTATAGGCCACATAGGTGTTATATACATCATTTGAGAACCTGAAAATGAATATCAGAAGCTGTTCAGTACTGTGTGTAAAGTGTTTTCTGGGACATAAATCTCTAATTAACATTAGGTTATGGTTAGACCTTTGGTGAAATGTCAACATTTAGTCTAAGAGCAGCTAAAACATGATGATAAAGTATATAGTGACCATCCCCAAGCTTTAATACAGTATGTCTCATAAGTTGCTGGAGCAATTTTTGGGTTGATTACCATTTGCTTCACAGGTTATATGCAAAGGAAACTTGGAAAGCCCGTGGTTGTACAGTAGAGTTTCCTAACGCTGTCATTATCATACGTTATACAGAATATTATTTTTATACACTGAGGTTAGTTATTTTAATTGAGTTTGTTTCAAAAAATGATCTCACTACAATAAAGTGTCTACTGTGAAGACTTACACCATAAAACATGAAAGGGTCTCAGCTTTCCAATCGTACCCAAGTTAAGCAATTCCCAAACCCTAACCCAAAATAAAATGCACCGTTTTTAGAATAGGTGAAAACGGCATATTAGTACTGCATGGAAACAAAAATAACGGCAGAACTTTTGCACAAAATTACATGGGATAAGCATAGAGTGGGCCTGTCTGTAATTTGATATAGGTCTGAAAAATTATGTTTCAATTATTATTATATCCATTGCTTTTTTAACAGAAATATTGTTATTTGTATGCCCTTTTTAACTCATATTGCCTATGCTTTGCTCTTTTGTATCTTTCTTATCTGCTGACAATGGAAGTTGACACAATTATAATGCCTTCTCTTTTATTAGAAACCAGCACTTATTTTGTATAACAGCTTTTATTTTTTTTAATTAAGGTTTATTGTTTTGGTATATCTTTTTAAGTTAAATGTATTTTTGCCTCTATAGGTAGCTGATGTGTCGTCTGATGGTATCCTGCGTTTGGACCTGGATCTTGAGAATGCCTTGATGCCTAATGGCACCCAGCACTCCAGTGTGGATGGCACTGAAACCCCGAGAGAGGCCATCAAAGCCTTGACTCCTCCGTCCAATGCCGGTGAAAATGCAGAGAAAAGGGAGGATGAGGCTCAGACTGAGCCGGAGGTCAGTCCTCAGAAAAAGGTAATCAAACCTCCCATGCCCCCTACCAAAGAGGCTAAACCTAACCCAACGCCTGAGGATGAGCCTGATAAGGAGGAAGGCTCAGAGAAAAAGGTCTGTTTATTGCTAAATACCTTCATCATACAATACTGTTCATATAAAGTAGTCTGTAAATAGAGGTTAAATGTCCCTCATTGGAAAAAGTGCAATTTCATGTCTTTAATAATTATAAAGCAGGTCTAAGTGCAATTCAAAACAAGTCTCAAAATGCAAAATCCACAGAGTAATGCAAAAGCCACCATTTTCAGGAACTGCGCCTTTAAACAAACTTTCAGGTCAACTGTAGGATTTTGATGTCAAAACTATACCTAAAGATAGCGACTTTTTAATCCGATCTCGACCTGTTGCATATACCAAAAGGGTTTTCTAGCTTCCTGGTTTACTTCCTGGTCATGCAGCCTGCTGAATATGCTCATTAGTGTTTCTTCTAATAGCAATTTCTTTAAGACTAAAAAACTCACAGATTTGAAATAGATTTTTCTCTGTTGAAGGAGAGTTTCTAAGATATCAAAACGTTGTGTATCAGGATTGTTTCTTAGAAAATGTCAATTGAAAGATAAAAAGATCATCATGGTCATCGTTGCTGATGTTATGCTGCAATACCGCAAGTGGCCACCGGACAATAGTAGATGAAGGCTATTCTATACTACATCAATAAAACACCTAGAATGCAGATACAGAAAGGCCAGAAAGAGAGGGGGCTTAAAGAGACGGGCACTAAAATTGAGTGTTTCAGACAGAGGGTGAACATATAAAACCCACAAAATAAAAGTATATTATTTGTCCCATTTAATGTCTTTTAGGTCCTGAAGCCACCCATGCCTCCATCTAAAGAAGCCAAGCCCACAGCCTCACCTGAAGACACAGAGGAGGGGAAAGCTGAGCAGATGTCTGAAAAGACTCCTGATGCCAGGAAGAAGACAGTTCCACCACCAACCCCTCCCAACAAACCTGGCTCCTGCAGCTCCATTAGCAACCTAGCAGAGGCCTCACAGTCCCACCCTCCTACCCCTCCATCAAAAGAGAAGAAACCTTCTGTGGAGCCAGACCAAGAGTTGGAAGGCACAACAGATGAGGATGAGGAGAATGAAGAAAGTGATAAGAAGGAGGCGACAGGAACAGCTGTGGAAACTGACCTCCCCATTTCTAAAGAAGCTCCACCTAAACCTGGGAGTCCCAGCGCAGACGGGCAGGTAATTGAAGAAGAATCAGGGGAGACAATAAGTAATGGCATTAAAGTATCTGAAAATGACCCACACATTCCCAAAGAGCAACTCAGAAAGAATTCCAGCCCTCCTCCTACACCCAAGAAGAAGCCTGCTCAGCCCAACTCGCATAAGGCAGACGACAAGACAATGGTAACCCAGGCAAAAGAGGGACAGGACCCTGCTGCTTCACTGCAAACAGATACCGCTGCCAGTTCCCCTGAAGCAGTAGAGGCTCCACCCAAGATTGAGGTCCCCTCAGTCGTCGTCTCTTTGAATACTCCGCTCTCTGACGGCCTCAGCCTGAGTCCGCTGCTCTGTCACCTGCCTGGGGAGAAGAAGAAGAAGGCGGAGGAGAAGTCTGTGGACAGCGGTCAGCACTCTGACGATGACAGCGAAGGCTCTGGCAACGAAGACACACTGGCAGCTTCCACCGCCGCATTGAGAGGAAGAAACCCTGGGCTGGATGTGTTGGACGCCAGCGAGGACGAGATTCAGGTTCCCGTCACTTTGAAGCCAACAAAAGCACCACCCAAGCCTCAGGTCAAACCTAAGTTCTTTCCCTGTCGGCACTCCGAGCCCCCTCCTCCGTCTCTTTCACCCTCGACCAAGGCCAGGTCCGCCTCCATTGGAGATCTGCTGTCTGACTCGTCAGTCTGTGTTCAGGCACACACAGCTGTGGCCCGAGGCAACGCGGCTCCTGGTGATGATTTCATGAAACTTGAGACTGAAGTGGCGCTGGAGATGGAAAAGACGCAGCAGCTCCTGAGCAGAGTGTCCAAGGCTAAGGGGGGAGCCGACGGGGATGGAGTACCAGAGGATCTTCTGGCCAAGGCCATGGAGAAGCTGAAGAAGGCTGACCACGTCCTGAGAGAGGTCCATAAACTGAAAGTTGCTAAGGACTCAAGAAACAGGAACAGCTGGTAAATGTTGGCCAGAGCAGGTTGACTGGGAATCGACCATTCGCTAAACCTCTCTTCTGAACAGAGGTTGTCCAATCATAGTTTAGCAATCTGCAATATGCACAGCAAGCCTGTTAAGCTCTTGATTTCTACACAAACGGTACGGTTTGCAAGGGGCTGAAGTAAAAAGAAATATTGGATATAAAAAGTTTTTTTCTTTTCCTTTCCAAAACTGAAAACGTGAGCGGAAATGTAAGGAATAGATAACATGGTGTGTTTGCCCGCTGTAATGTAAGCTGCAATTATTGGCCTTTTTTTGTCTCAATTTGGATACTTCTGTAAACACTTCGACTGTGTAAACTGTACATACATGCGTCGTGCATGAATCTTGGGAAACTTTTCCAAAAGCTCTTAAGAAACTCGCTACCTTCCATTCTTGTTCAATGCTTAACAGATTTTTGCCAAGCAAGGATTTCAATCTAGGCACGTCCACCTTTTCGTCCTTATGAGCACTCAATCCAGGTTCTAATAAGCACTGCATTTGACCATAGTTGTCAGTGTGCACGCTCTCAAATGAAGAATTGTAGGCAAGTTTAGACACAACAGATGCGTGGCTAACTAGCTTACGCTGCTACTACTGTACCTATAGTCGCAAATGAGCATTACTTCCAAGGTCTTTCAAGTAGCTTAACATAACTAGCTCCCTTAGTTTGTGAGTTAAAAAAGCAAGCTCAGTTTACATCTAGCACAGGGGTGCCCATTACGAAGATCGCGATCGACCAGTCGATCGCAAAGGTAGTGTGGGTAGATGAAATGGCATTGAAAAAAAAAATTGAAAACAAAAAAGTTTTAAAGTTAGCCTATCATCCATCCTTACTATGGCATTTGCCACTTGATTGACGTACAGGTAAGCCAGTCTGAGTTGTATTGTGCCATACAGTTTCATGCAGTTATGAGGGGGCCTCACCTCCTCATCTGAAGCACAAATGTTGCGCACTATCATGCGCAAATGCGGCGCAATTAGTGTAAGCGCCACAGTTTATCCGCCGTTTACTCCACTGGCACCCCCCCCCCTCGCGCTCGCGACACAGATTGGGCAGGGGCGGCCCTGTAGGTAGATCTTTTGGGCTTGGTCATTTTAAAAGTAGCTCCCAAGCTGAAAAGGTGTGGGCACCCCTGATCTAGCACATCCACTTTTTACTGTTATCCCTGTCTTGGATGCTATTCGAGGTTAGTTAACCGTTAGCGGCTCTGTTTTAGGAATGTTGCTGCTCTCTAGCGACCCAAGCCAACAAGCTATGGTTTCGTTTGACAAGCTATAAAGCCTTGTTCCTTGTAATGTAAAAAACATCCATGCTGTGTTTTGGATCAACTTTTGTAGCTAGTCGTAGGGTGTTCAGCTAGCTGATCAAATGTGTGACAGTGTCATTCCAGCGGGCAAAATCAACATTTGTTGGCAATTAAATGCGAAGGTGCTTTTGTCGTAATCTGAGTTAGGGTTTAGCGAACAGTCAATTGATTGACTTTCATTTTGCAGCAGCACATGCAACCCTTCGCTCATAATTAGCTATGTGCAATTATTTCTAGTTTAACTCTCTGCAGCTGCAGGTAATGCTTAACATTCTACTGTGTATTTTTGTTGTTGTATATGAAATATCAAATAACATTTTCAAGAACAATTACTTGAAAGTTAATCAGATAATTACTAATATAATAACAAAACAGTACTTTCATTGAAAAGAACATGGAAGAAAAGTACTAAAAAGTGTTAATAATAAATAATCATTTACAGTTGATTCTTTGTGGAATCAAGAGGCTTTCACTCCTTTCTTCAGATATTTTTGCTGGCAGTTTTGATGATGGAATATATATTGTACATACTTTATACTCAATAAAGCATGCAGTCTATTGTTGATGAGGAAAGATGTATTCCTCAGGAGGAATGAGATGCTCAGGAGTTTTCTGAAAGTCCATTTTTCAGACTTATCATGGGATTGAAGCAAAAGGAACAACTGATACTCAACATAGAAGGATTACAGTTTGTTTTTATACTGATATTGTTCATAGCACAGAACAAAGAGCTTGTAGCAGCACTTTTGGCTCATATTAACCCTTTTACATTTTAATTTGACATTCAGATGTGATTGTATGAGTGAAATGTACTCTGTGATGTTCCACGCAAATTTGCGAGGATGTATTCTAACATTAGATATAATTTTGTACTCTTTGATAAAAGTTGCTTTGGCCCAAATAAAAAAGGGAAATTATCTGTTTATGTTGTGTGCTTTTTAATTCAGTTGTAGCTCTAGAAAGCATAAAAAATATGTATTAAAGAAATGTAAAAAATATATTTTCTTTTGGAAAAAACCCTGCTAAAGGTTTCCAATGTAATGGTACTCAGTTTAATAAAAAAACGTTTTGAAATAGTACTGTGTTAGTTAACATTTTTTGCAACAATGCAGGTAAATGCGTAAGAAGTAAACTAAATACATGTAAAATACGTAGAATATGATGAGCTGAAAATAGAATGTCAAAGGAATTTCTGTACAAGGATAAAACACTGCTTACTGTAGTAATACATAATTAAATATGTGAAATCCACTTCCATACTCGGATGTTAAAATCATACAGTCTATGGTTAAAACATTAAAACAATTATTTGTCGTTTAGCTCTTCTCTCTTTGGCTTGACAGAAGTAACTGTTACTCGTTTTATTTTGAAGGTCTTGGCCGGAAGTCATATTTTCACAATTTTACCGAGTGTTGCTTGACAGAAGTCACTGGGTCCAGCCTCCTCGGTTATGGCTAGAAAGGATCCGTCTAGTGTAAATATGACGTCACGTTCTCGTTGTAACTCTCGTTGTAATCGGAGCGGCTCGGAAACACATCTACAGTAACATGATGCAACATACACATTAATGCAGCAGCAATATTAATAGAGAAACATCAGACTTAATAGTAAAACACTGCAAGGGAACATTGTATTGCACCAGGAGCCGCTAACACCCTATTTCAACAATCACACTCCCTGTCATTGACATAATGAATAGATAGTTTAGCTTCTCACCATCATTTGCTGTGGCCAACTGATGTTAACGATCTTAACTGAAAGGCTGCCTGCCAAACGTAAACATTCAGCCACGTGACATTCAGCCAAACTCTCGCGAGAGTTTTACACAAGACGGATCCTTTCTAGCCATAACCAGCCTCCTCTCTGCTGGTTAATATACTACAGCTGTACAATGAGAAGAGGGCTGATAGCCCAGAGTCATAGGAGGTGTCTTTAAAACAGCTCAAAGATGGAGGACGACCTGGTGTCGGAGGATGATATCTGTGAGTATGACACATGAAGGAGCAGCGGGGGTCTGAGGCGGGAGCGAGCTGTCATCTCTCGGCAGCAGGATGTCGGTGTGGAGCAGAGCAGGCAGAGAGCTTAGTACACTGTCTGTGTTTTACACCATACATTATTTAGTTAAAAATTACGGTGGACGCTAAATGTAACTTTGTAGCCGATAGAACTGTATGAGACGTTTTAACCACATGTTCTGTTACCTTCATAGCCTACAATCCCATTGTCTAATTTAATATCTCAATCTCATGATATGTTCTTCCTGTAATACTAGTGTATTAGCCTACAGCGGGCCCGGTGTGCGAGATTAAATGTTTTTTTTAATTAACTGGTTTACAGCAGGCAGATGTAGGGGGCGTACGAAATACACATGTCGATCGCTTCTTCTGTCGTTTAGATACATATTTTTGATGTATTTGGCTCGATAGGAACACTTTGATGCACATTTATTACGTGAGGTTGTGGTTACGATGGCAATATCCGGACGCGAACAGGGAGGACTACAAAAAGACAAACAGGTGACTGGGGACTCTGCTGAAAAAAAGAGCATATACCATAAGGTGACCAGATTTTCAAAATTAAAACCGGGGACATTTTGAGTTTTGCGGTCAATATATCATTAACATATCCAATTTTCTTCACTGTTAAAGAAAAAAGGGGGACAGTTCTGGTTCAATGTAATTCGAACATTTTAACTGTTGGATACAAACAGAAGGACGATAGCTCATATATGAGACTTCAAAGGTCTTTTATTTTGAAACTGTACATCAGATTGTCCAGATTCTTTCTGAGTGACAAGATGGGGTGTCCTGCTGTCACCCTGGAGTGAAATAAGTCTTTGATAATTTAACAGTTTTTTATTTATTCTTGTATAAAAACAGAAGGACGATAGCCCATATATGAAATTTCAAAAGTATTTTATTTTGAAATTCTTCATCAGATTGTCCTGATTTTCTTTGATTGACTAGATGGGGTGTCCTGCTATCACCCTGAAGTGAAATAAGTATTTGATTGATTTCGAATAACTCTTTGATTATGGACGGTTTCCATTAAATAAATAATAATCAAAATATAGATGGACAATAGATCTAATTTGAGATTTTAAACAGCATACATTTTCTGTGCTTCAGAAAGTAATGTTATTTTAGGAGTGTTGTGAGATGGTGTCAACATCAATTGAAATTAGTCACCCAGTGGAAATGTCAGATATGTCTTCATAATTGTATACTTACATTTTGCATTCACTCAGTCAGTTATAATGTGGTAGTTATACGTAGTTTGTTTTAAATTATTATTGATCACATTGTATAGTACATATTTCTTAATTTAAGATCCAGTATATATGAATGTGTTTGGTGTGTTTTTAGGTATATTTGTTATTGACCGAGTAAACGCTTTTATTTTGGAGGCAGTTTTTACAGG